ACAGCCACCCTAATTGTGAGTGTATTGGTTGTACAGTCATTTTGGAGCATCCTTTTGGCAGTGTTTTATAAAACTAAAATGTGACATGCTCCACAATGCAGAATCTCGAGCACATCCCTACACCTGTGTTAGAGAAGGCTTGCAGGGACTCTCCTTCGGGTATGTGCTTAGCTGACACTCACCAAGGCCTTGCATTCCAACTGTGAGCCCAAGCACTCTACAAATCTCACCCCGTGGCCCCATACAATCTCACAAAGTAAGCACCATGAGCACCCATCTGTCCCTGTGCTTTCCTCAGTTTCCCCTGCTGTCCAGGCCCGTCAGGACAGCCTCCTTCCTGTCCACAGGCTGGAACAGTTCTGAGCCCCATCCTGAGATTCTTGCTTCCAGTGCCCTGACAGTTTAAAGGATTGACCTCACTGTCAGACTGGAGTGACCACCGCTCACTCCCCTGCGGCCACGCCAGCCTCACCGTGGCCGTGGGGTTGCTTGCATCCCATCCCGAGATACCTAGGGATAATTTTTCCACCTGTCCTCGGAGTCCATTACTTTTATCATAGCTGGGATTAGCTTATGTGGTTTGAATGGTCACTGTCTCATCCTCAGTGTGGGGTCCCAAGGGTGTGGGGTGGCCTGGGGAGGGGCCTGGAGCAGTGCAGATGGCAGCCCTGTGCCACTGCAGCACCCCCTACCAGGCCCCTCCCCAGCCCTTCCCCAGGCACACACACGGTGACCCTTCTCCCCCTGACTATCCCAGCTGCAGGACTCCCTGGGGATGGAGTAGGCAAGGGCCACACGTGGAGCTGGGGGACAATATTCCTCCCAGCTTGACTGCCCCTGTGAGCCGGCCAGAGTGGAAAGAGGTTGTCCCGAAGTGAGTTTCCAATCTTCTTAGACTGTGTGGCCACAGCCAGAATCCCAAGTTCCTCATTACTTCTCAGGCTCACCCCTGGGGACGGGGGGCGGTGCACAGCCATGAGGGTCAGTCGTGAGCATGCTGGCCACTGCACAGGTGACTGCCCTGAGTCCTGGAGAAGCCTCCTGGGGCCAGCCTCAGTGAGGCCCGGCTCTCACATCCCCACACCCCTCCAGCACAGACAGGCATGCCCATCACCCCAGCAGACAGATGGGTTTCTTGAGGCAGCTACCCTCTGAGCCAGCTTTGTGGGGGCTCCAGACTGTGTCCCAGTTCATCCAAGGAGGCGCCTGGCCACGGCACCCTGGGGCTTGCTGCGAGGTGAGAGAAATTCTTTTTTTTTCCCCCAAAGCCAGGCTACTGTGCAGACTTCAGGGCACTTATCTAACAGGAGGCACCCTGGGAGGTTGGGAAATGTTCCCAGAGTGAGGCCTGCCAGTAAGAGCGCTGATAGAGAATGTAAAGAGCTCTCTCTTTCTCCCTGGCCCCATGGAGTGGGGGCTCCCCACCCCTCTCTCCCCTCCCCTCCCCTTCCCTCTCCTCCCTGGCTGGAACCTGGTGGCAGGTGCCAGGATATTTTGTTTCTCCTCCTGTGCCATTCTCCCAGGTCTGTGGATCTTACAAGGTTTCCTTTCTTCTCTTGGTAATTCCCAGAGTTCTCCTGGGAGCTCTCGCCTGTACAGACAGCCTTACACCTGTTGCTCGGGCTCTTTGGGGAGTAGCAGGTGAGTACCTACACCTCCCCTCTGTCCCCCGCCTGGAGACCCCCTCTCTGCTACATTTCTACAGGTTCTTAAGATGTCACCTCTTTTATTCCTGACATGAGCAATGTGTGCCTGGTCTGTGTTTTTTCTATTGATTTAGCAAGCTCTTCTTTTTGTTTTCCTTCCTCAGTAAAAGGTTGTAGTCTTTTTCCTCTCATTGTCAGGACTGAGAAACTAATAAGGGAAGAAAATGGATCTCATTCCGGGAGCTTCTTTCTTTCTGCTTATGAATGATTTCTATTGTCAAATGTTTATCTTATTGGTGCATTTATACAGGTATTCCTTCCCCCAAGAAATGTTTCCTGAGTTCTTCCTTTGGGCCAGTAGAAGGTAGAGCTAGAGTTCCTCAAATGAGCTCCACCCCGCTGTCTCTCTGAGGGTCATCAGTTTTTGAGGGAGCGTGGGGTAAAGCGCAGAGGTGGAGTAAAGCGCAGAGGTGGAGGAGCAGTGGCTATCTGACCTCACAAGGTCAGAGGCAAGGGCTGTGCATGGGCCCTAGCAGGCGGCATGCGTCCAGTGGAGGAATGGGCAGCAGCAAGTCATGAGGAAGAAAGGAAAACAACAGTCAGATATCAGTCGGTTCTTAGTTGCAAGCGACAGAGCAGCAGTGTCTGGTGAAACTGAGATGAGTTGTCTGAGAAGATTGGAGCCAGCAACAATGCCAGGGGGTAGGGGTGGAGCACTGTTGCTCATGGCATGGAAACCACACAGCTGCCACTGCCCTGGGCTCCAGGTCACCCCACTGGTAACCCTGGTCACCCTAGCAGCCTGACCTTGCAAATACATCCACTCAGGAAACTTAGAGGCTTCTGCTGCTAGACTCAAAGTCATTTCTGTGGTTCTTCTTCACCAAGTTCTTTGCTTCAAAATCAATCTTGCCCAGAGAGGCAGCGTGGATATCCTTGGGCAACAACAAGCACAGGAATGGAGCTTTTACCTCAATGGGCAGAGCGCCATTTTGAATTCGAAGCAGAAGAGTCACAACGTGTCTGGTGGCAGAATTGAGGGGATGACCAGGGGCTGGGTTGGTGACCTGGAAGGGACAGCTGTCACTATCCAGTTGGTCAGGATGAAGGGTCACCAGCTCCTTACCTATATCCCCAGGGAGGGGCTGGTGGCCACCAGCCACCAATCTACTTCCTATCCCCATGTGGGCTGCTCCACACCATGCACACATAACAGCCCTGGGCTAAAGAGGGCCCTGCTGGTTGTGTGACAAGTCTTCCACAGGGTGGCCTGGGGGGGGGGGGGGGAGTGGGAGTGGGGGGGGGCAGCAGTCAGTGTATTGGCTCAGCTGTGGCCTCACCAAGAAGCTTACTCTTTCTGTCTATAGTCTGAGGACCCTAGCTTCATTGTGGCTGGATGGAGGTAAAGGTCATTTTGTACTCCTACAGGTCCATCTTCCCTTCTCCCTTTTCTTCCCCTCCCTGCTTCTTGTCAACAACTCAGGCAATTACTTCACTGAGCCAGAAAGGGAAGTACCTATATCACTAAGCCTGCCCACAAGATGGAGTCTCTGATAACAGGGCTGCTGTAGGCCTAATGGTCTACCTTCTTAATATCTCATTTAATCATAAACCCAGCACACTGGAGGAGGGGAATCCTGCAGGAGCATGCAGACTGGGAACGTGGATTGTGGCGTCACTGCCAGACCTCTTCATCCAGATCATACAGAACATGAAGGACACAGAGTGGACAGGACTCAAAAGAGTCACTGAAGTGTAGAGAAAGAACGGAGATGGGTGGAGAGGTACTTGGCTCTCCTCACACAGGAGGAGCCAATCAGGAGCCTTCTCTGGCTCGGAAGTAAGAGGTGCTGCTTTTGTTATAACAGTTGTCATTGAAATATACCTTTGACGATGAAACAAACTCTACCTGTCATGGTGTACATCTCTAGTGCCCTACTTTTAAAAGCAGGATGCTCATAGTCAAACCAGCTTTAGGGAAACTGGCTTCAGAGCCCCAAAGGAAGGTACCATGTTTGCTGGTGGCAGGATCCACAAGGGCAAACAGTCCATCTATCCTCTTGCTATCGTGTCTGGCAGCACAAATGTCCCCTCCTCGCGGGCCAGATATTCCTCCTCACCCTCAACTTGGCCTGGAAAGGTCCCATCTCTCTCCCATACATTAGTCACATTGTCCCTTTAGGGCCCATCCAGTTGATGGACATTGATTCCACCCAATGAGCATGGTTTCTTAGGGAGATTTAGCTAGGGTTATGGCTGGGATATGTGGATAGTGGGTGGTAGGCAGGGGAAAATGGTTTTTCACCTCCTGAGCGTGGCTTTTTATTCAGCCAGCAGTTTGTTTGCACAGCAGCCTAATTGCCGGTGATGTGAACATATTACCATTTCCTTACATGTTCCCCTCCCCAGAGGGTCACAGTTTGACTGAATGCACTGGTTGGGAGAGGCTCAGATGAATTGTATCCCCTACAGACAGGCAAGACCTGAGGTCACTGGAGAGGAGAGAAAACCCTTTTCTTCTGCACCCTTGGGAGAAAAGAGCCTCCGGTGCCTTCAGAGCCTTTGAAGAGCGTTTTCCTGCAAGAGCGAGGAGTAAGAGATGAGGGACCACCCTGAAAGACACCCTCCCCCATGTCAGGCCTGAAAGAAGAGTTCTTTCCTTGGGAAATAGGAGGAAGTGTATCAGCCGTTAGGGAGAAGTTGGAGGAATCCCTGGGGTTGTTAGTGTTTTCTTCCCAGCTCTAATGCCATGCCATGCAGATGCAGGCAGGGACAGAGGCAAAGGTCACGCAAGGGCAGGGTGCTGGGAGCGCCTGCTTTTTCTCAGCAATCTTCTAGCCATGTGGAATTTTCTTCCAGCGTGTTAGGCTTCAATATTTCATTCCACTCTTCCCCTCTCTCCCTTTGTCCCCAAGTCCTTTCCTCCATTCCAGGGGGAAAAAGTGGGGGGAAGGAGACTACATCTGATAGAAACCTAAAACTTCCTTGATCCCTTAAAGTGAGTTATTAATTAACAGAACCTAAATTACTGGTTGGTAGACAGATGTAAATCTAATTCTTTTAAACTGCCCAGCAACTCAGAGAAGCGGCTGGAAGTCCACCAGAGAAACCAGTTAGGCTTTGTGCCAATGGTCAGGTCTGAAGAGAAGTTTGGGAGCCGGGAGGGGAAGTTGCTAGTTTGTGGATTCCACACTAGGTTGGAGGGAGGGGCAGCCGATGCGGGAGGCGCAGGGAGCCACCAGCAGCAGCAGCAGCAGCAGCGGCAGCAGCGGCAGTGGCGGCAGCAGCGGCAGTAGCAGCAGCAGCAGGCCAAGCAGGGGCTGCAGACAGCCTAGCAGCTCACTCTAGGGTCATAGCTCAACTGCACTAAAGATCAGGCTTCAGCCACCACAGTTGCCTGGCCTACGAGGTACGGTTGTTTACTTTCCTGTCCTTTTGTTCAGCTAAAAACTAAAGCTGATGTCAGAGAGCTTGGGGAAAGGGCTGGGAAAGGGCTGGCGGTGTCCAGCCGGGCAGGCAGGCACTTCAGGTACTGGGCTCAAAGTCCACGCCTTGGTGGCTGACTACATACAACACATCTTTAGGCCTTAGGAGCTAAAAACCGCTGCTTCTCGATCCTTAAGGTGTGCCGTTTGTGTGTCTCTTTACTCTGTGATAGTCTCCTTCCCCAAATAATTTTGTTGATCTCAAGAAATGCTTTGAAATGGGCAGAAACTGTCCCTGCCTACAGTTTTTCTACACAGGTCCACAGCGACCAGGCATGGCCTTTGCTGATGACCACCGCTGCTGTGGCTTCCTCTGGATCGCATCTTCCAGTCTAACCACCTGCTTTTCTTCTTCTGCACACACATTAAATTAGTATAATAAGCAGCCATTGTGTCCAGTGACACACATAGGTTCTTTACATTTAAAGAAGAGAAAAAAATACTTAGGAGATTCTTTGGATTGCTCATAGAGTTGTATAGTGTGCGCCCTGTACATACAAATGAAGAAAACTCTAACATGAGGGCTTTTCATAGTTGGAGGGTTTGGGATATTTTCTGGCGGGGGCGGGGGGGGGGGGGGAGAGAAATAGACATAATAGACTTGGAATTAGGGCTCAATTTTTATGCAACGATTCGTATCATTCCAGAGCAAATATGATCTGCAAATAAACTTTAACAGGTAACAAACATGGAGACAGTATGAAACTACCCTGAAAGCCTGCAGGGTTTAAAAAGCTCATGGGTAAGTTCTCTCTCATTCCCTGCAGGGAAACCTAAGTTTCCTCTTTACCTGGTTCCAATGCTGTAGCATGTACAGAGAACTAAATAGATTGAGTTCCTACTTAAATCAGTGGCCAATTTGATGTTTGTCTCTGCTTAATGGCCATCAGCCTAGTACAAACACACAGTACGAGTCCTGGTCCAAAAGACAGAGTCAGTGGGTATCGTCTGGAAGATCCGAGCCTGGAAACTGTGTGCAGAAGTGGTAGAGCCGTGCCAGGCAGAGGCACCCAGGGGAGTGCAGGGCACAGAGGCAGGCATCCAGGGACAATAAGCCCTCTGCAAAGGGCTGAAATGTGTGCGGCCAGTTCCATGGGAACGCCTGCAGTCCTGTCAGCCCGTGAGCAAAGGGACGCCCTCCCAAAGAAACTTCTAGCCTTTCTTTCAAGGGGAAAAATAATCTGAGAGCTTTATAAAAAAACGTTCTGGGCCCGGAAGGGTCTAAGTTAGCGAATGGATATTTTTAATTCAGACCAAGAAATCTGAAAATGTATTGGTGCATAATAATGCTGTCCAAAAACACAAAAGAGAGAGGGAGAGAGGAAGAGAGAGAGAGAGAGATGGGAGGGGGGAGAGAGATCTTGCCATTCTCGAAACTTTCTGAAGTTGAGGAAATCAGGAATATTCTGACCTGAGTTGAACGCTAGGGGCTGAATTCCTCTGGATAAATTGACTTCCTGTGCTAAGTAGGTTTAGGGGAACGCCTCACACCCCTCTGAGAATCAGCATTCTCTACTGGCATACCCCCAGAATGGAGGGAATGAACTCTCCCATGTGTGTATTTCCGGATAGTCTACACATGCATAACGAAGTATTCCTTTACTCAGTAGTGCACATGAAGTGCAAGTACCCTTGCAAGGTCGTTGAGAGGGTGCGTGATGTCCCTCTCGTAAACTTACTTGGAAAATTCACGCATCTGAATTTAGGCACAAAAATGGTCTGAGATATAAAGAATTAGGACACATGCTCTGGGTGGAGGGAGGGGAATCACCGTTACTCTTCAGCCTTAATGCGGGTAGGGTCTCTCTCCAGAGGATAAAATAAAGTTGTTACCCCCAAATCTCCAGAAATACATTCAAAAGCAAATGAACTGTATCTGGATGTTAAGACTGGAGGAAAGGGTGATGAAAATGCATACATGATGCAAATAGAGAGGACCAGAGCGCCTCAACACCGAGAACGCCTATTAGTCATCTGTTACCTCTGGAAAGGGAGGCAGGAAGCCACGTGCCTGGGACTCACACCATGATCCTAGCTACTCAGGAGGCTGAGAAATGATGATCCTGGTTCAAAGCCAGCCCAGGCAGGAAAGTCCACAACACACATCTCTAATTAACCACCCAAAACCCAGAAGTGGAGCTGTGGCTCAAAAAGTAGAGCAACACCAGCCTGAGAGAAAAAAAAAAAACCCAGGCAAGGGTACAAAGCCCTGAGATCAAGTCCCAGTATAGGTGCATGTGCGCATGCGCGCATACACACACACACACACACACACACACACACACACACACACACACACACACACACACACACACACACACACGAGGGATAATAGGAGGGAATGAGCTACAAGAACACAGTGCTATTAAAGGACTGGTCCCACTCCTTGGGTGGACGAAGGACAGGATTCTGGGTGAATAAAGGAACTTTCCGTACGCGAGGTGGCGGGAAATGCTGGTGATCATGTGGTGTGCAGGAGGGTTTATGGGGTCACTCTCCTCTAACCAGGAATCATGTCCACCATGGCTTGGAAGGTGTCACACCTGGAGAGAGAGTGTACATCCTGTGATCCTGAAGAGGGACTTCTCTGCAGGAGAGCCCTGAGTACTTTCCTGTGATGACCCGTAAACCCACTAAATCCCCTCTGGGGGAAAGCAGGGGCCAAGAGGAATACTTGGTGTTTTTTAAGCATGGTTCAAAGCATGTACTGTTAGCTTTTGGGTTAACAGGGACAGTTTGAGGTGCCTTTTGTTCTTCTCTGAAATGTTAAAAAAGGTAAGCAAGAGTGACTTTTTTTCTGGTTGTTGCTGCAGTATTTAGAAGTACAACCAGTCTGGTGTAATCCTAGCTACTCAGGGAACTGAGATCTGAGTATCATGATTTGAAGCTAGCCAGTGCAGACAAATCTGTAAAACTCTCATCTCCAATTAACTGCCAAAATGCTGGAAGTCAAGTTGAAGCTCAAGTGGTAGCATGACAGCCTTGAACAAAAAAAACTAAGGAAGAATGCAAAGGTTCTGGGTTCTAATCCCAGAGCCAACACACACACAGAGATGGGCGGGGGGGGGGGGGGGGGGGAGTGGGTATCAGGCCTCAGCCCCATCTCCCCTGGGCCCTGGGGAGACTGCTGACCTTCCCCACCCCCATTCTCCCCAGGGTGAGTGTAAGTTTTCACCAACACTGGGAGTTCTGTCTTCTCCCCTAAACAAAACAAGGCTCCTTTACTGGAGCTGGCTTTGTATCCCCCAGAAAGCGGCTTTCACTGGGTGCCTGTCCAGAGCGAGGTGCTGCCTGTCACCTGACCCTGCCCCTGGGGGGGGGGGGTGCTGCCCGTGGCTTTGGGCTGCATTCCTGGAATTCCTCTCCCTGCCACAGCCCACACCACCCTCCTCCCTGAGCTGAGCGGAGGTCACCAGCCGGCTGCGCCCAGTCTGAAGAGGTGGAGTAGCAAACAGCAAGTTAACGAGACAGGTAAACTGGGGGACAGTTGTGACTCCTCGAAACCATCATGCTTGTTTCTTAGGGAGAGCTCCTCCATCAATCTGTGCTTAAAAACAAATGAAAACCAAAAAACTAAAACTGCCTGAAGAAAGTGCGCCTCAGATAAGGATTGCTTTAAGATTAGGGTAGGAAATAATGAAAAGGAAAGAAATTAAAGAGGTGGAACACAAGAGGCTTTTGCAAGCCGGTGGGTTGTTTTTTGTTTTTTGGTTTTTTTTGGGTCCGGACGTGGGGCCTGAACTCTGGGCCTGGGCGCTGTCCCTCAGCTCTTCAGCTCAAGGCTAGTGCTCTACCACTTGAGCCACAGCGCCACTTCCGGCTTTTTTCTTTTTGCTTATGTGGTGCTGAGGAATCAAACCCAGGGCCTCAGGCATGCAAGGCAAGCACTCTACCACTGAGCCACCTCCCCAGCCCCTGTTTTTGTTTTTTTGAGATGCAGAGAGTGTTGAGGTTTGGAGGCTGAAGTGGCCTGTGGCTCAATGTGGCACTGAACTTGCTGTTTCCTCTTCAATAACATATATTATTAATTAATAATTACTAACAATTATTGACACAAGGTTGGTGGGAGCATGAGGCGGGGAAGCTTTGAGCAGAAATCTTAGAGTGGGAAGCCCCTGAGTCTGGAGGTACACGTGGGTACACGCATGTGTGTTTCAAGCATACTCAAGTGTGTGTACATGTGTGCATGTGTTTGCATTCAGGTGACCCTCAGGATAGTGACATTTGTAAGGAGAAGGAGTTTCTCAGGGCATCAGGCAAAAGTTGTTGGGGATCTGACCACCATTGCTGTGCTGGAGCCAGGCTCTGTAGCTCATTCTATAATCCCAGCTACTCAGGAGGCTGAAACCCGAAGATCAGGGTTCAAAGTCATCCTGGGCAGCAGGGAAGGGTTAGGTGCACACCTGTGTAGGAAGCAAGACCCCTATCGGAAAGCAGCCAGCAAAAAACAGGGCTAGAGGCATGGCTTGGCTGCATCATACCACTGTAACATGTGTGAGCTTTACCCAACCCCAAGGTTCACCTAACCCTGAGGGCTGTGGCAGAATCCTGGAGCTTGTTGCTGCTTGATTAGGAGCACGTAGGAGTATGGTAAGGCTTGAGATCATGTATGAACTAAGGGAAGTGCCAATTTCTATTGCCAAAATAGCAGAATGAATCTAGGGAGGAGGGTAAGAATGGCCTCCGTGTTCAGGATCCTGAAAGACACCAGGCAGGAGTCTAATAGCTAGTCCTGTGTCCCCTCGTTCCTTTGATCCTCGCCTTCTTTTTGATTTCCACAGCAGTCTGGAGAGGGGACAGCTAGCATGTGCCAGGCCTATTTGTTTCTTGTCCACTTTTTGTTTGCCTTGAAATAGAAAAGAGAAAATAAAGAAGTAAGTGCAAGGTATGAGCTGCACTTTTTTTAGGTTAAAATTAAATTCCAGGGAGATCTAATCATTTCTGACAGAACTTCCTGAGCCAAAAATAAGTCGAGAGCTCATCTAAAGACCATCAAGCTGAATCTGTCACTCGGTCCACATTTCCCCTCTGGCGGAGCTAAGGTCACGTCCTGTGCACACATGCCGTTCTGCCAGTGGCTGAAGCCTGTCATTTGTTTCTCTTTCCAGAGAGCGGCTGAGACAACCTCAAAGTCTGGAGGAAAATGGCTTCTTGTGGAATATAAAATCTACCTCCTGGTACATGGTTTTCTCTTCCTAACGCCTGATAACTGAGCACACAGATCTTCAGAAAGTCAACTGATCAAATCCCTCATCATGCATCAACTGTTCAGACTTGTCTTGGGACAAAAAGATCTCTCCCGAGCTGGGGACCTCTTCTCCTTGGATGACTCTGAGATCGAAGACAGCCTGACAGAAGCTTTGGAGCAGATTAAGATAATTAGCTCATCTCCAGTAAGTACTCTAGTTTATAGACAAAATCTCTAAAGTAATGTAGGATTGGATACCACCCGGGGTGGAGAGGAAGTGATGGTTCCAGGGGAGAGGGAGTACCAGTGATAGTCATTCACTGCTCTGTGGTTCAGTTGGTGTCTAAGAAGAAGCATCTAGTTGCTGGAACAATAGATTTCATAGAGCAGTGCTGCACTTGTTCCATGTGCACTGTGTTTTACATGGCTCTGGATGGCTCAGATACTTACCTCCCCCAAAGACAGACACTCAAAAGGATGCAATCTTTTCTCCTGGCTCTGATATCTGGTTCTATGTGGACAGCCTCAGTCTACTGTCCCAATGCCAGAGGCTTTGTGAAGAAGTGCTTAAGGCATGGGTCAGTAATCATTGAGATCATTAACTTTCGGACCCAGGTAAATATAAATCCACTCTTCTATAAGAAAGTGAGAATGTACAAGAGAATCAAATGATGACAGCGCATGTGAAATACCAGGGTGTGAAACCCCGCTTGAGCAACTAGCACACACTTTACAAATAATGATCAGAACTGTAAGACAGGTCCTGTGTGGGGTAGGGGTGCTGGTGAGGGGTGTGGGTATATGAAGAGAGTGAAGGAGGGAGAAGATGGTCAATGTGCTTTACATACATGTGTGAAAATGGAAAGATATTATATTTGTTGAGATTGTATTAGGAAGGGAGTAAGAAAATGAGGGAAGGTAACAGGTACCTTGTATGTTATATAGATGTATCAATATGAAGCTCCATTCTACAACTAATGGGTGCTAATAAAAATGCAAAAAAGAAAAAATGAACAGAAAAAACATCCAGGGAGTTGCTGGCCTAGCAGGCAGGTGTGCCACCGTGTGCCTTCCTGTGGGGACCGGAACTCTGGAGATGGCAGCCCCAAGTGACGGTCTCACAAATAGAGTGGGTGAGCGTTTCATTTACACCCTTAAAATGACGTGGTGAGTGGCAGTAACAAACTTGAGGTCAAAGCTGGCCTGCCAAGATCCACGGGACATCAGTATCTGGGGCAGTGTGTGCTGGAGGCTGAATAATGCAGGAGGCAGGATGGGCCTTCCTGCTGCACAAGTAATGTGAGACCCGGACAGCATCTCCTGGGCACCAACAGTATGGTTACCAGGGCTTGGTGATGCAGACTGAGTTGTCTCTCAGGTTGTCTACCTCTTCTTTGCTCCATCCTCCACCCTCTGTTCCCCCATTTTATTCAACTCACCCAATTTTTTTTTATCAGTCATGGGGCTTGAACTCTGGGCCTGGGCACTGTCCCTCAGCTCTTATGCTCAAGCCTAGCTCTCTACCACCTGAGCCATAGCACCACTTCCAGCTTTTTCTGCTTATGTGATGCTGAGGAATCAAACCCAGGGCCTCATGCATGCAAGGCAAACACTCTACCACTGAGCCACCTTCCCAGCCCCAACTCACCCATTATTAATCACAGGGGTGAACAGACCATTTTAAACCTCCTCCAGGCTTAAACCTCCTCCAGCATTAAGCCTGGCACTGGTGACTGTGTTCATGCTCCATGGCTCTCTTCCACGTTCTGGTAGAGAGCTGGTGTCAGGGCATCTGGGCAGCCCTGGTGGCTCCTTGTGAAGCCTGACAGCGTCTGGCTTGCTGGCAGATGCTTCCCCACTGAGCAATATCCCAAATGTTCGTCCCTTCCCAGGTATCGCCTCTCACAGCAATGGCCTGTCCACACTTTCTTCTCCAGAACATTCATCAGCTTAGGGTGACTCAACTCACCAAGCGTTCCTAGTACTTTTCCACTTTGCGGGGTGATGCTACCATTCCCAACAGCCCAATTATGACCTTTAAACAGCAAGATAATCCATCGAGGCATGATTAAAGCTAACAAATTTATTTGCACTGTTTACACCAGAAAGGGGGCCTGTGACTACCTTGTCCGGGGCTGGATACCCAGAACCAAGAGCAGCCTCGACCACCAAGCCTCCAAGCCTCCAATGGGCAGCCCTGATCCCCTGACCTTTATTAGTTGGTCTGCAAACCTCCAATTAGTCTGTCGGTCTGCAGACCTCCAGCCCCAGACCTCCAAAGCTGCAAAGCTCCAAGCCTCCAAAAGGGAAGGCTTTTGCCTTTCTTCCCTTCCTCCTCCTCTGCAGGCCTCTCCACTCTCCTCTGGCCTGCCCTGCTCTGCTCTGGGAGGCCTCTCCACGGGCCTCTCTAGAGGAGGCCCCGAATGACCTCCGACCTCCCGAGGAGACCTGCCCTGCCCTCCACAGGCTGCCCTGCTCTGCTCCGGCAGGCTTTCCCCTCCTGCCATCTCTCCCTCCACTCCTACTCCTCCCCTTGTCGCTCTCCCTCCCTCCTGCAGCACTCCGGTCTCCTCCAGTCCCCTTAGGACTCCCCTCAGGACTTGGAAAGCACAGCCCTCATATAGGCTAGGCCCCTCCCCTTTTCGGCGGCATGCCCGCCCCTCCGGTGGCATGTCCCTCCCCTCCATTGGCACGCCCCGCCCCGTGGAGCAGTGACGTCAGCCTCTCCATGTCCCGCCCCCTCCAGCGTGCCGGGCCACGGGTCACTCTGATTGTCGGGGCCCCGCTGGTTATTACATAACCTCCCGAGGAGGGCCCAAATGACCTCCGGAGGAGGCCTGCCCTGCTCTGCTCTAGTAGGCGCCTCTTGCCTGCTCTCCCTTCCTGTTGTCTCTCTCTCCACTCCGTCTCTCCACTCTCTATTCTCCATCACTCCATCCACCTCCCCCAGGACTGAGGGTTTCATTGACCTAACGGTTTTGTCAACTGTCATTCTTGCTCCTCCCCCAAGCTGCTCACTGTCCAATCACTTCCTGACAGCTCGTCACGTAAGGCTCGAATCCCCACCCCCTCCAGTAGCAGGCCCCGCCCCCTTTCTGTGGCATGCCCCACCTCCAGCGGCATGCCCCGCCCCTTTCGACGGCATGGCACGCCCTTCCGGCGGTGTGCCCTGTGGGGCGGTGACGTCAGCCTCTGGATGCGCCGTCCTCTCCAGCAGGCCGGGCCTCGGGGCCAGGCTGATTCTTGGGGCCCCCTGGTTATTACACCCCTCTTCTCTAGAAATAACATGGCTGGATAGGCCATGTTTATCTTCACAAGTGAAAAGATGGCAGAGCAGCTCAAGCTAACACGACTCATCCGGGTCCCGAGGACTGTCTCCACCAGAGGCCTGCGGCAGTTCCGGGCCACAGCCTCCAGGCTCCCGGGCTGCTTTGTCTCTGGCAAACTCAGGACTGAGGGCAGGTGAGCTGTCGGCGTCTGTGGGCTGTGTGGGCTGCAGGCCTGCTCACCGGGCGGCCGGCCGTGGGGGAGCTGCCCAGGGATCCCCAGTGACCGTCCATCTGAACAGGGATTCCCCAGTGACTGTCCCGTGTGAACAGGGATTCCCCAGTGACTGTCCCGTGTGAATAGGGACCCCCCCAGTGACCGTATATGTGAACAGCAATCCCCCAGTGACCATCCCGTGTGAACAGGGACCCCCCCCAGTGACTGTCCCATGTAAACATGGACCCCAGTGATAACCCCTATGAACAGGGACCCCCTAGTGATCACCCCATGTGAACAGGGACCCTTCTAGTGACTGTCACATATGAACAAGGATCCCCCAGTGATGGCTCCATGTGAACAGGGATCCAACAATGACCATCCCGTGTGAATAGGGATCCCCCAGTGATTGTCCCGTGTGAACAGGGAGCCCCCCCCAGCGACCGTCAATGTGAACAGGGACCTCCAGTGATCACCCCGTGTGAACAGGGACCCCTCAAGTGACCGTCCCATGTGAACAGGGATCCCCCAGTGATCGTCCCATATGAACAGGGATCTACCAGTGACTGTGTGAACAGGGACCCCCCCAGTGATCACCCCATGTGAACAGGGATCCCCCAGTTACAGTCCCGTGTGAACAGGGACCCCCCAGTGATTGTACCATGTGAACGGGGACCCCCCAGTGATACTCCGTGTGAACAGGGATCCCCCAGTGATTGCCCCATGTGAACAGGGATCCCCAATGACCATCCTGTGTGAACAGGGATTCCCCCAGTGATTGCCCCATGTGAACAGGGATCCCCCAGTGATTGTCTCATGTGAACAGGGATTCCCCCAGTGATTGTCCCGTGTGAACAGGGACCCCCAGTGATCACCACGTGTGAACAGGGATCCCCCACTCATCACCCCGTGTGAACAGGGACCCCCAGTGATCACCCTGTATGAACAGAGATCCCCAGTGATCACCCCATGTGAACAGGGGTCCCCCACTGATCATCCCAGCAACAAGTCTGTGCAGCTTCTCTTTCATTCATTTCTATCACATCTCCTTTTTTTTTTTTTTTTTGTTAGTCCTAGGCCTTGAACTCAGGGGCTAAGCCTCTCTGTGCTCAAGGCTATTGCTCTACCTCTTGAGCCACAGTGTCACTTTCGGCTTTTTCTGAGTAGTTTAGTGGAAATAAGAGCCTCACAGACTTTCCTGCCTGGGCTGGCTTTAAACCTTGATCCTCAGATCTCAGCCTCCTCCATAGCTGGGATGACAGGCATAAGCCACTGGCCCCTAGCTCACTTTCCCTTCTAATGGTTATCCCTAACCATGGAAGCAAAGGAAACATGGTAACTTCCAATTGACATGTACTAAGCTTAAGGTAAGGCTGTCTGCAGCCTCTTCTCTCCCTTTTCAGGTTGACCCACAAGGCCCCCTGTGGCTCGCCTCCCATTAGCACTGCCCATGACCTTGGGGGGGGGGGGGCTGGACATTAGATTTCCTTACTGGATGTCTCCTAAGGACCTGGGCCCCAGTAACCAATTTCTCTGCAGGAGCTTGGACCTGCCCTCGTGGCAAATACTCACTGCGCCAGCGCTCATGCGGGTGACGCTGGAGTGGGGTTTGATACTTTTTCTCTGTCCTTCATTTTCTTGTTCCTCCCCCACCTCATTTAGTTTATTGTTGTTTTAATGGTGAAATATAGTGGGGTTGCCTTTACATACATCAGCTAGTAA